TTTCTTTTTTTTTTTTTTTTTAACATCTTTATTGGGGTATAATTGCTTTACAATGGTGTGTTAGTTTCTGCTTTATAACAGAGTGAGTCAGTTATACATATATATATGTTCCCATATCTCTTCCCTCTTTGTCTCCCTCCCTCCCACCCTCCCTATCCCACCCCTCCAGACAGCCACAAAGAACCGAGCCGGTTTCCCTGTGCCATGCGGCTGCTTCCCACTGGCTATCTACCTTACGTTTGTTAGTATATATATGTCCATGTCTCTCTCTCGCCCTAACACACCTCACCCTTCCCCCTCCCCATATCCTCAAGTCTGTTCTCCAGTAGGTCTCTGTCTTTATTCCTGTTTTACCCCTAGGTTCTTCATAACATTTTTTTTTCTTAAATTCCATATATATGTGTTAGCATACGGTATTTGTCCTTCTCTTTCTGACTTACTTCACTCTGTATGACAGACTCTAGATCTATCCACCTCATTACAAATAGCTCAATTTCGTTTCTTTTTATGGCTGAGTAATATTCCATTGTATATATGTGCCACATCTTCTTTATCCATTCATCCGACGACGGGCACTTAGGTTGTTTCCATCTCCGGGCTATTGTAAATAGAGCTGCAATGAACATTTTGGTACATGACTCTTTCTGAATTCTGGTTTCCTCAGGGTATATACCTAGTAGTGGGATTGCTGGGTCATATGGTAGTTCTATTTGTAGTTTTTTAAGGAACCTCCATACTGTTCTCCATAGTGGCTGAACCAATTCACATTCCCACCAGCAGTGCAAGAGTGTTCCCTTTTCTCCACACCCTCTCCAGCATTTATTGTTTCTAGATTTTTTGATGATGGCCATTCTGACTGGTGTGAGATGATATCTCATTGTAGTTTTGATTTGCATTTCTCTAATGATTAATGATGTTGAGCATTCTTTCATGTGTTTGTTGGCAGTCTGTATATCTTCTTTGGAGAAATGTCTATTTAGGTCTTCTGCCCATTTTTGGATTGGGTTGTTTATTTTTTTGTTATTGAGCTGCATGAGCTGCCTGTAAATTTTAGAGATTAATCCTTTGTCAGTTGATTCATTTGCAAATATTTTCTCCCATTCTGAGGGCTGTCTTTTGGTCTTGTTTATGGTTTCCTTTGCTGTGCAAAAGCTTTGAAGTTTCATTAGGTCCCATTTGTTTATTTTTGTTTTTATCTCCATTACTCTAGGAGATGGGTCAAGAAGGATCTTGCTGTGATTTATGTCATAGAGTGTTCTGCCTATGTTTTCCTCTAAGAGTTTGATAGTTTCTGGCCTTACATTTAGGTCTTTAATCCATTTTGAGCTTATTTTTGTGTATGGTGTTAGGGAGTGATCTAATCTCATACTTTTACATGTACCTGTCCAGTTTTCCCAGCACCACTTATTGAAGAGGCTGTCCTTTCTCCACCGTACGTTCCTGCCACCTTTATCAAAGATAAGGTGTCCATATGTGTGTGGGTTTATCTCTGGGCTTTGTATCCTATTATAAAGCTGATATTTAGAATAATTTGAATATATTTGAAGCTCAAATATCTTAAAAATAATCCAGCCCTAAATAATAATAATGATAATAGTAGTAATAATAAAGCACCAAGAAATGAACTTCCTCAGAATAAATTTTCCACTACTTCTGTGTTAATTATGCAAAAAATAATAATAATAATTCAATAATAATTTAGGAAAAAACAATCCAACAGAGTAAAAATTCAACTTTGTTTTAAACAATGTCAAATGACAGAGAGCAATTACCATGAACTTTCATCACATCCATTTGTAAAGAACTCACCTGGCTGGCAATCTGCCGAGCAAGGACGTCCATCCTTGATCCTGATTCTGATATCATTTTAGCTGCATAGATCACATCAGTTGTATGCTTCAGTGGTCCTTTTCCCCTTAAAATAAAAGGATACATGTTTGTTGCAGTGGTTCATGCTAAGATACAAACACACACACACAAGATTTGTATCCCAAAGTATAAGCCATTAGTTTTACATACTTAGTTTTAAACAGGCCATGATTAGATTCCAGTATTAAATGAAAAATTTTTTTAAAAAGGCCTATTTTGTTAAGATTCAGGATATTTTGCCAAGAAGATGGACTCCATTTGATCTTCATTCCCATGTATTTTGTACAATAAACCTTAGCCCAGAGATACTTTTGGTGGATGTAGACCCCTGAAGGCAAAGGTATTTTCTTCATTCTGGGTGGAAACATGAGATTTTGGACATCTTATATGTTCAACAGTGTACTCTGATTAGTAGGGATGCTGTTAATCCTCCTATTTTTAATCTTTTTTATTTTTACAGTCTTTTGGTTAACTGTACTTTGTTTTTATCACATTACCTCTCCTCCACAATTATTTCCTAGTAATATCAGAGTAGTTGAGTATGAATCTGGAGTCACACTATCTTGGACTATTTCCCCAAACAGACTGCTTCTTACCATTTGTGTAAGTCGAACAAGATAAATACCCACTTGATGCCCCAGTTTCCCAGTGATAGGAAGTAGGAGCACCCACCACATGAAGTCATTCTAGGGACTGCATGATTTAATTTCCACAAAGTGCTCAGAACATTGTTTTAAACAAAGTAAGCATTCAATAAGTTGTTATTTTTGTGCTTGTTATTTTAAGATAATTTTGGTTTCTAATGCCATGGAATAAAAGTTAGGTTTATTTAGGGATTTGCAATGTAGTTAAGAAAGAAGTACACTTCTTACATAGTTGGAGTGGGGTAAGATAAGGAGATATTTTTCTGTCTTCTCATTCCTCAAAAATAAATGAATAACTGACCTGAATGAATATAAATGTTCCATCCACCTAAAACTGCTCCTCTCCTTATTCCTTTATGTCCAATTCCTAACCCTCTACTGAGTATCGACACACTGGCTATTCCAATTATATGGTTTCTGTTCCTTGCTCCTAGCAGAGAATAGGACTCTGAAGAAATCACTCACTAATGCAACTGTTTTGATGCTTTGCCGTCTGTTTTGATGCTTTGGGAGTAAGAAGAGTGAGGAAGGTGGGAAGAAGGAATAAGCCAGTCAAGGTGAGGAAAGGGAGATTTTGAGAGGCCAAAATACAGTGGAGTTGAAGAGAAGGGGAATGGACACAACCTTTGTCCAATATCTTATTTACATCTTGGACCAGTCTTGAGGGTAGACGCCCTAATGTTAAATCTAGTAAGATGTGTTGTTAAGAGAAAAATCTCTGTTCACGTAAGGACTATCATTCTATACTAATACAACATAGGGGGATTCATGCAAAGGAAAATGATCAGAGTATTCTACACCTGAAAACCTGAACATCAAATCACTTGTGACTAGTATGTCAAAAAGGCCCTTTCACTGCATTTTATTCATGGGGCCTCTCAAATACATTACAAGCAAGTTTTCCTGTAAAAATGGAACCTCACGGATAAGAGGATGAAAACCTGGCCTCAGTAGATAGTTATCACCATACTTCCCTTTGAATCTGCTGACACAGGTTTGCTTTGAATTTTTCTAAAAAATCAACATTAATCATTACAATTTTTTTGACTTGCTCTTATCAAATTTACTTTATGCATCAGGCAGGACTAGATGTTACGTACATGGTTATGTTCAAGACGGGCACTGCATTTCATTATGTCTATGCATCTCCAGAGAAAGTTAAACTTAAATAAAGCTGTCCAAGCTCCCAAAAGGCAATGCATCAATTTTCAAGGTCTTAAACAACGGACAAAATTTGTTACTAAGGAGAGGGGCTAATGCTCACTTAGCTTAAACAATGGACACAGAGTTTTATCTAAGGGATGTAGCTAACGTACCCTTCCCCTCAAAAGAATATATGTCCCCGTATAAAAACCCTGGGCTGATGAAAAGGAACTTAGCTCTAGCTTTAAATACACACCTTGTTATGAGACGACCATCTTAAACACATATAGAACTTAAAAGTAACAATAATATATTGTGACAGATTACAATTATTCTCTTTTCCTCATGCTCCTAATTAAATGTATTGCCTGGCAAGCTTCCTACTGAGTGCCAAACAAAATATACATTTTACAAATGATTCCATCTTATGCCAAGTTCCAGAGGAAGCTGCAATTACTGAAACTATGATAAATTTTTAACATTCTCAGCCTGAAATGTGCTATGTCATGAAGGCTTTTTAAATTGGAAAATACATTCAAAGGTTGTTTCTGCCTTCATTTTCATAATGGGTTCTCAGGATCTCTGTCAGCCACTTGTGTCTTAAATCATTGAGTTTGGATCCTGCAGAGAAAGATACCCAAGGACGAGGGGGTAGACTTTGGAAATATTTTAAGGAAACCAGAGGCCAGAAATCTTTCATAAATAGTGGTTACAATAATAATCTATCTATCTCCTCAAAAAGGAGGGCAGACCAAGCCCTGGAGTAGACAGTCTGCCAGTTAATCTCTTAAATTATAGCTTAGAAGGTATAATGAGAAAGGCTGAAATAACCCAGTGATGTTGATGCCACAGACAATTTTATTAACAAGTGAAAGGGATGCCTTTGAAACTTGATTTATTGGTACAACACAAACCTCTCAGCCATTTTTGATACTGCCCCAACCGTGATTCTCACTCCTCTCCCTGCTGTCTCTCAATTTCTGGCATCCACCCCTCCCTCCCTTCTACTGATGAGCATGAGAAGCAAGAGGATGGTACAGCTGATCAGTAACAGCTCAACTAACTAGAGATCTAGTTTGATAATAGAAAATATCAAATAAGTGTTGTGGACTTATTTTATCTTTTTAGGGACAGAGAATATCTTTGAAACAACTTGGTACTTTCTGCTACTGATTAAAAATAAAACAAAAGGCTTGTTTATATCTTTTGCACTTTGTAGCCCCTAAATCTTTGATAACGTAATATTATTCCCCCTTTCACGACCAAAAACTACCCCTTTAATCCTTTTCTCCTTTATATTTTTATAGAATAAGTCTCATGACATTGTGGTTAACTTAAGAGATGAAAACAATGATAGCATATATTATGGTCCATAATAGTAGTTAACACACTTAGTATTTTCTATGTGCTGTATACTATCCCATACACAAATTAATTTGATTATAATAATCCTATGAATTTAGAATTATTATTGTCCTTATCTTGCAGATGAGAAATCAGAGGGAAAGA